AGGGGCAAAGGGGGAAGGCCTAAATCAAAGTTGGAACTCAGCTCCCTGGCCATATGAGTGACCCCTCTCTATAGTCTTTTTTCTTCAACATAAGGTCTTTAAGCATTGAGGGGAGAAAGAGAAGGGCAGGGAGAGGAGGTATAGTAGAACAGTGGATTGGAAGTCAGGACACCAGGCTTCTAGTCCCTTGATCTGCTACTAATCCATTCTATGAACACGAGCTTGTCACCAGCTAATGTTTTTATATCTGTAAAATGAAAGGGTTGGGCTTTTATGGTCTGTAATGTCCTTGACCATATTTAAATCTGTGAGCCTGTAGGGATGAAAAGAAGGCAATAGTTATTGGTGTAAGCTGAGAGAGAGGCTCTCTGATTTCTGGGGCTCTTGTCCTTTAAATCCTATTTATCCCGTGGTTGTATCTAAGGCAAGGTGGGCTGGCGCCCCAGGGTCAGGAAATGTCCAGTCTCTGACTCTGTGCTCAGTACTTTTCTTTCAAAATCCTTATGAGAGATTTGGGAAAGAGCTCTGCTGTTATGGAGGATATGGATCTGTGGACTAGGGAAGCTACTGAATAGTGGGAGGTAGGGGAGGTGGGTTACTATCTACCCTCTGCTGTCAATGACTCTAAGCATGTTCCAGGTGAGAAGATGACTGAATCAGAAGTAGAACAGCTGATGGCTGGACAGGAGGATGCGAATGGCTGCATTAACTATGAAGGTCCGGGGAGTAGGACAAGAGCAATTAGATCCTCTCAATCCCTTCCCCCCTCCCCAGCTCCATCATTTCTAGGCCCTTCTATCTATGCTACTGAAAAATGGAAACCTAGACCCAGTGGGAGCAGGGTAGCCTTGTCTCTACTCTTGGTATCATTTGGAGGAAAGGGATAGGTTCGGTGATACAGTTCTGGTAGTTGAGTAGGAGGTCATCTAACTCAGAGAGTCCATGAGGTGAGGAAAGAGTGTCTGGGTGCATGAGACATTCCTTCCCAGGCAGGAGAAGAGGGTTAGGATGGAGAAAGGAGCAGACAGAGGAAAAGTTCAGAGTCAAGGAGCTGGGAGGGGCCAGAAAGGGGGTGGGGCAAGAGGAACCTGGTCAGGGTCTTGACTCCCACCTTCTCTTTCAGCCTTTGTCAAACACATCATGTCTGGATGAATTGGGACCTTCGGGGTAAGTATGAACTCCTCCACAGTCCCTACAGAGGGGTAGGGCCATTCCTAAGGTTTCAAGAGTGCTAGGGGCTCAGGAAGCCTCTTGTAGCCATAATGCCCGACTGGCATGGTGCCCCTCTACTCTTACTGTACCTCCCCTTATTCCTCACTCCTCCTTCATGGCTCCCCTTTCTAGACTCCTTTCCTCCTTCCTTTGCCCCTACTCATTCTCCTGCTCACCCTCTACACATTGCTGACAACCTTAGCCCCTCTCAATTCACATACATTCCTCCAGGCTTGGGCCTTTCTGGCTATGTCGATGGCAAAGGAAAGGCAGGGCCAATGGACTGGAGAAGCCCTTGTATCTACCGTTGGTCCCATCCTGCCCTTCTTTCTCTTGCTATCCACAACCTCTGTTCACAGGTTTTTTCTTACCCTTGACCCTCTCTCCCTAGCGTCCTCCCTGCTCTAAGGTGTAATGCTTGGGAACTTGATAAGGGAGTCACTCACTTTCCTCTGTGATTGCCTTTTCAGGTACAAGGTGGCCTTCTATTGCTGACACTGCATCAGAAGTGAGTGAACCCTTGGAACAACTGTGGAACTGGAGTCAGAGGGACCCAGGCCGGTCACCCCGTTACAGTTATGAGAAGCTCCTCAGCTTACCAGCCACCTCTGTAAATAAACAACCAGGCACTATCGTATATAACAGCTTGGAGTCTGTTTTCTGTGATGTTTCTCCCATCCCTGGATGAAGTCTCTCACTTCAGGTCTCCCCTTCGTGTTCATCGATTAGAACAATAGGATTTGTAGCTGGGGACCTGGCCAGGTGAGGGGAGAGGCCTGGCTGATAGCTCAAAGGATAGTGGTGGGGTCAGAAATTTAGAAGGGAAGGGTTTTAGGGATCAGAAATATTTATGGGAATCAGAATTCTGTTCTTATTCACAGTAACATTCTATTGACTCTCATTGTTGCTTCATCCCTCCTTAGGTCAAGTCTAATTGACAGGAAGTAAACAATTGGGTGTATGGGGTGGTGGTGGTGGTGGTGGTGGTGGTGGTGGTGGTGGCAAGGACTGAGTCTAGACTCAGGACCCTCCCAAGTGGTCCCTGTCCCTGGTATGGGATGTTTGGGTTTCCATTCCCATGAAACAAAAAAATCTTAGATGTGAAGCTGAAAGGGACTTTAGAGGCCATCTTATTCAACCCTTTCATTTTACAGAAGTGGAAACTGAGACTGAAGAGGTTAAGTAAGTTGAAAAAAGTCACATAGGTAATAAGCATTAGGAATGGGATGTAAACCAATGTCCTCTGACACAAAATTCACTGCTTTTACCACCTTTCCTTGCTTTCTCCCAGATGCTATGTCTCACTCACTCACTGAGGGCACCACAATGGCTCCTGACTATTTATGTAACCTCAGTCCCAAAGCCTATATCCCTCAGTAGGATGTAAGGTCCTTGAGGGCAAAGATTTTTTTTTAATCTTGTTTTGTTTTTGTTTATCTTTGTATTTCTAGTGAATCCTCATTAGATTGGATGCCAAGGGCCCCAGAGCCTATCACCCTAGAGGAGTGTAGGTCAAAGAGAATTCTCCCTGCATCCTCCTCCCCCAACCCATCCCCTCCCCAGTGACTCATCCAAAGCTTGCTCTGCATCAGCTATGGTCAGGGAGAGACTCAGTTAGAGATGAGGGAAGTGAAGGGGAGATTGAAAAAGAGGTAAGGAGAAAGATGGAGAGAGGCAGAGACATTGAGGTAGGGAGAAATACACTCACAAGTTTCAGGAATGAGCTGGCATCATCTCAGGTCCCAGGGACTTAGTTACCCCAATGTGGGTGTCCTCCTGTCCCTAGATCCACTAGTGGGGCAGCTAGGTGGCACAGTGGATAGAGTGTTGGACCTGGAGTCAGGAAGACTCATCTTCATGAGTTCAAATCTGGCCTCAGTCGCTTACTAACTGTGTGACCCTAGGCAAGTCACTTTACCCTGTCTGCCTTAGTTTCTCATCTGTAAAATGAGCTGGAGAAGTAAATGGCAAACCACTCCAGTATCTTTGCTAAGAAAACCCCTAATGGGTTCATGAAAAGTTGGACACTCCTGAAAAATGACTTATCAACAAAAATGAACGGGTTGTAACAGATGATCTCCATGGCCTCTTCAAGTTCTTCACAAGCATCCCAAAGCGCTGGTATTGAGCGCTCTCTCTCTCTCTCTCTCTCTCTCTCTCTCTCTCTCTCTCTCTCTCTGTCTCTCTCTCTCTTTCTTCCCAGCTAACCCTTACTTAGAGTTGTCCTCCTGCCCCTATAACTCTACAGGAAACCCTATTCTGGCTCCCACCCTCCCTATGCATCCTCTCTCTTCAAGAGGCTTCCAAGATGAATAGACCTCACCTTTCTCATCCTTTTTGACCTCTCTGTTGTGTCTCATCGGTCAGTTAGTCAACAAAATGAATCACTTTTCTGTAGCAATTTAAGGTTTATTAAGGACTTTACCCCAAATATCCCTATGAAGTAAGTAGTTCAAGCATGACTATTAGTTAGCTAGTGTTAACTGAGCAACTGCTGGGTGGTTGGCTCTGTACTTAGGGAAGTAGAGGATTCAGAAGTTTAAGAGGTGGTCCTTGCCTTTGAAGTTAAAATACAGCTAGAGAGGCAAGATGGACACACACACACACACACACACACATGCACACACACATTTTGTTCTTAAAAGTCCTTTCTAATCCCACTTCCTACCATTAACTTTGTGTGCTATCTTGGCCAAGTCATTTCCCTTTTGGCTTTCAGTTTCCTCCTATGTAAAATGAGGGAGATAGGTTAGACCAGGGGTGGGGAACCTGTAGTCTCAAGGCCACATGTGGCCTTCTAGATCCTTGGGTATGGCCTTTTAACTGAGTCCAAGTTTCACAGAACAAATCCTTTTATTAAGGGGATTAGTTCTGTGAAGTCTGGATTCAGTCAAAGGGCCACACTTGAGGACCTAGAAGGCCACATATGGCCTTGGGTCCACAGGTTTCCCACCCCTGGATGGTCTCTAAGGTCCCTTCTAGCTTTAGCATTCTGTGGTCCTATCGTTCTATGACACTCCTTTTTGTTGTTGTACTCCTACCTCTCTGACTATTTTTTCTCTGTCATCTGGCTTCTTTTCTTCCATCCTCTCACCCAACATTTACTGTGGATGCTCCTCAGGATTTAGAGCTGGGTCAATCGCTCTTATTCAGTGGATACACTAGGGACCACCATATTTCATCACATCCTTCTCAGTGTTATTGTAGAGGGGCTGGATTGCAGATGAAATATAAAAGTTTTTGCCTTGGTCATCAAGGATTTTAGTTGGGGAGGACAAAGGTACACATAAGTAATAAATAAAGAACAATTATGAAGTTGTGTAAGAGGCAGTAATGGCATAAACGCTGGACCGGGAGCCGGGCAGTCTGGATTCTGTTTCCATTTCTGCCTTTAGCTGGTCATATGACCTTGAAAAAAATTACATTATAATTCTAGATCTCGATTTTCAAATCTGTGCAGTGAGGAGATTGGACAAGTCAGTGATTCTAAATGAAAGCTAATATAGTCTTTACAGTATATGCTGAAGAAATATGGAATCTAGAATTGATCAAACTGGGATGAGAGAAAGGAGAAGGATGTGAGTTTTGAGCCAGGTCTTGAAGGAAGCAATGCACCAACATGAGGCTGATGAATTGGAGTGGGAAGGGGAAAGAGGCAGCATGGTGTATTCAATCTGGAATGAGAGACCCTGGGTTTGAATCCTAGCTGGTCTGTTTCCTACCTATGTGATCTTGGATAATTCATTTCCCTTCCTCTTTGATTTGGTTTCTTCACCTGTAAAATGAAGGGATTGGATAAAATGACCTCTAAAGTCTCTTTGAATCTTTCCAAGAAGGATGGTGTAAGGTGAGAGGATGGGAGAAGAGCAAGATGTTCAGGTAATGGTGAAAAGACTTAGCCTGGCTAAGGTATGGGGGATTTTTTCTGCCTTCAAATGAGTTCCCAGTAACTGGTGCTGATTTTTAGAGAGGAAACTAAAAAGGAAATGCCTCTTGAGCTGTACCCCACCACCCACAACCACACACTACCAGAGTCCCACACTTACTCTCCCTGGAGGGCACACAGTCAGTTGGGGAAAGTTTTCTGGTATGGGGGTGAGCCCACTGTGCATCTCTGCCCTGTTCTGAGAGAGGCAGTGTGGTTAAGTATAAAGGATTCTGGCTTTTGAACATAGCTTTATCACTTACCAGGCCTCAATTTCCTCATCCATAAAATGAAGAAGTTTAGACTATATGACCTCTAAGGTTTCCTTCAGCTCAGTGATCCTCTTGGAGTGGAAAGTTTAGCTCTTTGGGAGGTTCTTTTCTTTGGTTGGCTGACTTTGGGCCTGAGGGAGAGATGCCACTCCTAGAGCAAAGGGCGAATGGGTTGGGAGGAGGAGGGAATTGCTGTTCTGGGACAGAGATAAGCAAGTCTCCAGCCAGAAGCCAGCAGAGGCGCCTGGTGATAAGAGGGTGTTGAGACTTGATGGAACACAGAGCAGCAGCTTGTGAGCAGGAGAAGAGGTGTCTCAAGATGGGGAATGGGGAGGGGGAAATTGCAGGTGGGGGAAGTTGAATGGAAGGGCAGCTAGGTGGCACAATGGATGAAGTGCTGGGCCTGGAGTCAGGAACTCATCTTCTTGAGTTCAAATCTAGCTTCAGATATTTACTAGTTGTGTGACCCTGGGCAAGTCACTTAACCCTGTTTGCCTCAGTGTCTTTATCTGTAAAGTGAGCTGGAGAAGGAAATAACAAACCGTTCTAATATTTTTGCCAAGAAAACCCCAAATGGGGTCATGAAGAGTCAGATATGACTGAATAAGTTGAACGAATGCTATATGTGTAGGACAGATGGACTGGAGTTCTTTCCACTGAACTGGGCATTCACACAGACCCCTTTCTGTGGGACGTGAGCACTGGCCCCTGGTAAAGTACTTACGTGACTCAACAGTTCTTGATTTGTCCCTTGGTTCCCTTGACAACGGTTACATTAAAGACAATTGTCTCAACTGAGTTGGGAAGAGCCAGTGACTCAGGGCATAGGAACAAGTAAAAAGGATGACAACCCCTACCTTTTGCTGTTGTTGTTGTTGTTAAGTGCATCACTTTGGGCGTCTGCCATTCTTCCTTTGACTTATAGCTCTGGGTGAAGAGGGTCTTTCTTTCCTCTCCTCTAAGCGGCAATGGCAGCTACAAGCCCATGGCAGTGAGAATGTGTCCTTGCCTATGTAAGCCCCAGTCCCTGGCGACCTTTCTCCTACCTGTGTGTTTCTTCCCCAAACACAGGTCTGCAACCGAAAACCAGTCACCCTGAGAGATATGTTTGTAGCTTTGGTTGCTACCTTGGCAGTTTGAGAGTTCTTTGTTCAGTGATGGCTGACCAGTCCACTCTCCATCCATCTGTCAAATCGATTTTCCTAAAGCACAAGTCTGGCCATGACCCCCTTAGTCAATAAATTCCTATTACCTCTGGGATCAAATATAAAATCCTCTGGCTTTTAAAGCCCTCCTTAATTTGGCCCCTTCCTACCTTTTCAGTCTTTTTACTTCACCCTTCACCCTCCCATACTCTGTGATCCAGTGACATTGGCCTCCCCACTGCTCCTCCAACTAGATATTCCATTTCTTGACTTGGCTTTTCTACATGCTGTCCCCCATAC